AACCTCAACACCGAGCATGGGTTGGACAGGTCATTGCACTTGTTTACAGACTGGGAGCCCGAAAACCATGATTCAAGCAACTCGAGAGAATTTCGGCCCCTTAAAATTTGGCTGCATGGCCAGCTCTCGTCGAAACAGTTCTTACCAACTGCTTCGGTTACTCTTTCATCTAAGATTCATGTAGAGCTCAGTAGTCACGTAGGAAAAATGGAAGCGGTGGACTTTATCAGGGAGATAAATTGATAACATGCAAAATATTGAATCGAAATAGAGTAACGTTCAGTGATTTGCCTAGATTACCTGATGGAACTGAATATGCCAAGAAAATTCGAGCACCGAGCTTAGAACCCGTCTAGACGGCCATATAGCGACGAATAAGTATGCACTAGAACGTGTTATGGACAAGGTTCAAGAATGGGGGAGGGACTATTTTAAGCTTTTGACTCCAGCCTGAAAGCACTAGTCCCCACGAGGCTAGAATCCGAGTCTAGTGAGCGTCAAGAAGGGGAGCAATTAAGACTGGATGGTCTTATTAGTATAAGTGTCTGTGGAGGTCCCCTAAAAGAGGAGAAGTTCTAGAGAGCTGTTTGGTTTCAGATGGATATTTGTGTGCCCATTTGACACATTTTAGGGCAACAATTATTAGAGCAGAAAAATCATTGCAGTGCGTGTGAACTAAACTGCAGTGAAACAAGATCAGGCAGAACCAGCTCCGTTTTTTCGACTTTTAGTTTGCTTTTACTCGCTCAGTGATGGAAGAGAAAAATGGACTCCTGGGGAACACCTCAGAAGAGGCGAAGTTACGCATTTCAGCCAGAAGGAGGTCTCTTATGATGAGCAGGCAGAATTGTCCTTTGAAATGTCAGAAGTGAAGCAAATCTACTTCAACGAACGCTGCATCGTCTCTTAAGAAGGCTAACGGCGAAGCTGATCAAACACGCCTATTAGTTTCACTCCACCCGTTACGAATTAGGGCCCTGCTTTTCAGATCTAACATAATAACACCGACAACTGAGAGCGGGGATTGTGATCCAGGGCTGTATAAAAAATAAAAGCCAGTTAGCCGCCGATTTATACCAAGCGGTAGAATTTTACCAATAAATACGCAGACTTACATCGCCTGACGCGCGTAGATCTTCATACACAGGATCAGATTTCTGACGCCCGTGCAGTTGACTGGCAGTCAGGAATAGGGTTCTAACTGAGACGGCGGTCTCCTTGGCACCTTGGAGGAGGGCCACCTGCACAGACAGCAGGATACCGCACAGAGGAAGAGGTAGCGTCAACGGTAGCAGAAGCGGCAGCGGCCAAGCAGGCGGATCATCACGTAGGCACATAGACAGGTATCATTGAGAGGACGTGAGCATAGAGGCGAGAGGTGGAGAGGCGAGGTGGAAGAAACGAGGCAACGTGCAGAAGGATTGGCAATAAAGGGAAAAACACATAAAAACCAAAACGGATCGCAAATGCGCGTGCCTACGTAGTGCAGAGTACACAGTAGCAGATCTGTCATTCGGATTGACCTCCTCGCAGAGCCCTCTGATGCAGTTTTCTATCCGCAAACCGACCAACGCAAATGAAATCTAACAAATGTTTTACGTTCATGCCTAACGTTTTAGCAGACAGAAAGGGCAGCTTAGGGAAGCTAAGGGAGTGAGAGAGAAGTGGTGCGTAGGCTTTCGTGACTCGGTAATCTTAGAAGAGGAAAGTTAAAAGAAATGATGAAATCAACAGTAATATTTTCTTCGACATAGAAGGGAAGAAGAAACAGTAGGAAGTGTATCAGAGGAAGGTGTGGTGTGGGTTGAGAAAAAAATCTAAATAAAAATGGGAGGGGGTGGGAAAGCAGGTTGAATGGGGAGGTTGGGAGCTAGGGGAGGCTAGCGAATGCACGGTTTCGCGAACACATGATTCGCAAAACTCCGACATCGCTGCACGAAACCATGCAGTATTAGCCAGGTGGGAACACCATGCGCGCGCGCACAGAAATATATAAGGATAAACGGGTCGCACGGAGCCCAAGATGCACATGTGGTCACGAACCCAGAGCGGAGTGGATAATCCGAGCGAAGAGCGCGACATAAGTAGAAATAGAGCAGCAACAATAAAGTTACGACAACTATAAAGTCGGTATGGCGCCTCAGGTTACCGCGAAAAACGCCATACAACGCTCATATAAGAAAATGACAGCTACTGCAAATTTGATAGTA